GGGGGGGGGGGTACTGTACAGTAATTGCAAAGAGAAAGCTGCATTACTGGAGTCACGTGGGAACATGACCGATGTGTGTCGCAGAGGCTATTGAGGGCCCAGGTCCTCATCAAAAGACAATTGCAGGTGGGGCAATGAGGACAAGGTCATGCAGATGGAAGCAGGAAGTTGTCATGGGCAAGCGGGGTTGGACACCGAGGGAAGACAGGAAATGGTGCAGAGCTCAAAAAAAAAAAAAAAAAAAAAATGAAGACTGGCTGACTGCTGCTCTCAGTGCGATGGCCGCCACCATGGTTTGAAGGACAGGCGAGTGAGAAAAAAAAAAAAACACGCACACCCATACACTTTGTTTTCACTCACTGCGGTTGGCTCATGATCCACAGCCACGACACAAATGTTGTCGTCACAATTGAACCATTTGTCCTCCATCCAAGCTTTTTTCTCTCAGACTCGGTAAAGGCGACACACTGAAGAGTCGGATCATATTTTCTTGATCGCGTCGGACACACAAGCCTGATTTACAGCATAATATTCCCGCACCAGTCAAACAATCTGTTAATGGTTGTGTGACTTATATTGCTGCGGTCACAGGGGGCGAGCCATATGACCTTGAGCAACAAGGGCATTGGGCCTCCATTGTCCCTTGGTCTACCTTTCCGTAGACGTTATTGTATGGTCACGTTGGACCATAGAACAAGAGATTAAAATAAAGTCAGAAAAAAAAATCCTTCTCATTGACATATTAGACAGCTTTGTAAATGGTACACTTTAAAGTATCTGTCAAGAGAAAATAAATGTCTTGGAAATTTGACACACCACACGGAGGAGTGTTGTGAACAACCCTGAGAAGTTTGACCGATTGAAAAACTCTCCCAATGTTTAAAACGAGGCTTTGAAGTTATGAAGAATCAGGTTAATGTCTCTGCGTGTTTTCACGCATTCAGCAGACGCGCCACACTAAAAAATGATGGCTGGAATTGTATAACCCACTGCGTCATTGCGGGGCTTTCCAAGGCGTGAAATAAGGCGGCTAGCCACCAGGTAGAGCAAGCTAACAGGCTTCCGGGGGAACCTCTTCGCCCGCTATCAGAAAGCGGGATCGTCCGGGGCGTCACCTCCTTGCTTGGGAATTTAAACAACATCAAGCCGTGTCGTAAATTATGCCATCCAAGAACGTTACATTTTGGGGTACTTTGCAGATTGACAGACGATTATCAGTCGTCTCCCAAGTCTACCCGAAATTGAAAAAAAAAAAAAAAGAAAATTGGAATTGAGCTGCAGTGTGAACATGCTGTCACTTTACTGCTAGAAATGGACCTTGTAATAACTCGCAATCGATGGTGAATAAATGCACACAAGTTTTTATGTACTGTACAGTCATGGGGGGATAGGCGGTACGTGCCCGAGACCTCAGTGTGTCACTGGGCGCCATTTTAGCCACGCCCTAAAAGAAAATCAGGAAGCCTGAAATGGTGAAAACAGTTCAACGCCATATCCTCACAAATCAGTACAGCTCTCTGGCTTTTTTTCGCCATATGTTTTCGGCAATTATCCCCAAACACGTATCATGTATTCCGAAACAAATCTCTGAATTGACCGGACAGGGTCTGTGGCGCGAGCAAAACGGGGATGTTGTGACAATACTGCCGACCGTCCAAGTGTCCTAAAATGCTGAACCGTTTCCTTGATAAGGTTGTTTCCTCTTTGTTTCGAAGTTTCATAACCACTACTATGGGGCGACGTAACACTCAAAATGTGTCCAGTTGAGAAGTGCTGGAGTAGACTTACTTCAGTGGCTCGGCTCATCTATCTCTCTCAAATATTAACCATCACATGAATTATTGGAAGGATTGAGGGCTAAACTTTGGACTGGTGTAAGTGGCAGCTAAATGTGAGTGAGATGTCGATTAATTTGTAACCAAATGTTTCGCAACAGCGTCCGTTTCAACCCCAGCAGCGTGAGCCAGTCGAGATTCAAGGAGTTCTGCTCACTTGCGAGCACTTCCAACACGGAAGGAAGAACAGTGAATGTTTAATGCGGCCGCTCTTTATTCCGCCTAAGGACACCGGGGTCATTCATCGGAACGACTGCAGCGACTTTTAATTTAGATTCATTGTTTAAAATCCAAAAAGTGACATTTTGATTCAACGCCTATTTGCAGAAGCTAAAAAAAAAAATAGAAATAATCATTTGTTGTTTGGCCTTATTTTATCTTCTGTTGGTTTTTTCATAACAATTCCTTTCATTTTACTACAACGTAGTGGTGGAGAGTCAGACCCAGGATTGCATTCACTGATGGCCCAGACAATCTCTTGACTTCACTCCTTCCAATATGTGGATGTTGGATTTTTTTTTCTGACCAATCAGATTTCAGCCTCTACATGCTGCCAATTTAATTTCATCTGAACAGTGCCTCCAGAAAAGTGGTTCTTAACCTTGGTTGAGTAGTTTTCACCCCGATGGTCAATTTCGAGTCTCCAGTCAATAAATCACAAAATGTTTCTTTTTGTGTGTGTATTGTTTGTTGTTTTGCCACAATTGTGAAAGTAATCCGCACACAGGGTGGTGTGGAGGCTAATTTTCATACAAACAAAGATGACGCCTTGCTCCCATTTTTGGAGTCGAGTTAGCAAACAGGAAGTTACGGCTTTTGAGCCTCCGCCCTCAAATCATCGTGATCGCTTTTTCCCCTCGATGGTGCTATTTGTCAATCACTGGAAACACCATTGCCGTTCGTGTTTGTTTTCAATGTTTGGCGCTTTTTTTAGTGCAAGGTTGAAGAAGTGACATGCAGCCAGACATTCCTTTGAAACTCTACACATTAACTAAGTTCCTTTGAGAGGGGGCATTTCAGCTTGTCAGAATGAACTTGTCAATAATTGACCTCTCGCATTATGTGGTGGCCTTGGCTGGCGAAAAGACAATGGACATTTTGTTATGGTATGCCATCAGTATGGTCCAGCCAAAAAGTACATAATAAATCTATTATCTGTGCACACTGACAGCTGACATCTTCGGATAGCTTGGTAGGGGACCGCTGAAGGACTTGATGGACAAAAAGGTTCTGTTACGGATCTCAAGAGTGGAGTCAGGTAAAGTCGGATAAAATAAAGAGTCTCACTTGATGGCAAATGAAGCCCCTTGAGCACTTTGAGTACATTCCCACAGATGGCAAGAACTCGTCCAAAGGCAATGAGAGTGCAGCGCTCTGGTAAAATCAATCAACAAGCATCACATAATCCACTTGAGGGTGGCCCGGTGGTCGAGTGGTTAGCGCATCGACCTCACAGTGCAGAGGTACCGGGTTCAGTTCCAGCTCCGGCCTCCCTGTGTGGAGTTTGCATGTTCTTCCCGGGCCTGCGTGGGTTTTCTCCGGGTACATGCATGGCAGGCTGATTGAACACTCTAAATTGTCCCTCGGTGTGAGTATGAGCGTAGATGGTTGTTCATCTGTGTGTGCCCTGCGATTGGCTGGTAATCGGTTCAGGGTGTCCCCCACCTACTGCCCGCCCAAGTATAAACATGTCAATTAAAATACGTGTATATGAAGAAAAAAAAATACTTCATAAGCCATGGGACAAAACAACTATGCGTTTCTATTTCATCTGTGAAAACATTCAGTCAGAGGTTCAACTGTATTACGTCACATCCAGTAGAACTCACTGCTGCCTCTACTCTATGTATGTAAATAAAAAGAAAAAGAAATGACAAAAAACAGGCTGACATGGTTTAATTATGATGCCTTTGAGTACCATTTGGCATGTAGGCCTCAAACTCACCAAGTTGCTCGCTTGCGCCTGTGTGGCATGATTCCATCCCCCCACCCGCAACACCCAAAGGACACGCTTACGCACAAACCCTCACACAATGCATGTTTATTATGAACACAAGCAGAGAAAAGCTGGTAGTTGGCTGCTTATCATTGCTGGTTCCACTCACTTCAGATCTTTCCAGTTTTCCCTTTCAAGAACACCAAGGAAGAGTGGAAATGTTGACATTTTCTTTTCCTTCTTTGGATTAAAAAGCCTCAAACATGTACAAAGTATACAAAGTTGTATTCGTTGTGTCCATGCGCGTGGGTCCCAATGCAGCCATCTAGCCGTCCAGCGTGCCTTATTTTGAAGGGCAAAGGGACACGGAGTCAAGGTGATTGGAACGATATCCCGTCGGGTGGTTTCCGGTGGTCTCGTCTGAGCCCTCCAAAGTGTAGGAGATATGCTTTCCATCCACCTTTACTAATTGTGTCCTTGGTCCTCGATGACGATAACTTTCCAGCGTTGTGCCAAAAGTCATCGTACACACTTTGGTTTTATTTTTTTTCCATGTCTCACCCGGCCGGACGTCAGCTTCGGCTTTGCACTTTTTGTAAGCGCCGCATTCTCTTGACCACGGTTGGCCACCTGACCTTGGTGTGACATTGAAAAAAAATAATAAACCTGCCACCAGGCAAGATTTTTTTTTCTGAGCTAGAGAGGACTTATGGCTGTCACGCTGATCCAACGCGAAGTACAATCGAGGCTTTCCGTGGTAAGCTTCTCAAACCCGAGATCTGTGATTGACAAACTACTGCTACCCGGACCTGCTGAAAAACGGAACTTCGTGAGCAAGCCTTCGTGAAAAGCCACAGAAATTCACAATAGGCTGCACTTCATCGGCAAAAGCTTGGTTCAGCAGATGCTTTGAAGACTTCAGGTTGTTTCGAGAAGAAAGTTTTTGATGCTCAACAACCCGAAGCGTAAATCGTATATGCGTTTGAGCGCTGTGGGGAGGGAGACTTTCCCTGGCTTTTGCGCAAACGCCCGCTCTAAAAGTTTGGCGTTGTCATTAAACTTGTCACGGCGAGCGAGGGGACATCTTGCCTGGCGGCAATTTTTGCAACGGCGCTCCAAAGTTACGTGGCGAGCCACGAGCGAGGAAGTGATTTTAATAGCGCTGCTGGCTGTGTCAAGGGTTTTTTTTTTTTTTTTACGGCAGCATATGCCACAGGTGGATAAATGATGGATAGTTTGAAAATGCCAATTCTAATACGAGAAACACCAAGAATTGATTACAGCACAGGGTTGTGTGCAGAGGCGAGACAAGCGCTCTTGTCCTTGAGGTGATATTTAAAGGTCGATACCACCAGCCAGGCCGGGCCTGTCCTACACATCCATGTTTACATTTAAACAAGCAGCCGAAGCACATTGCTGAGCCATTTCACACATGCGCGCACCAGCACACAGATCGCACACGGCAGTGCCTGGTTTCCAGACAAGAATGTGAAGGTGTCCCGCTGGGCGTGTCGGTGAACGCCGGCTGGGTTTGATTTAGTGACTTTGTGGTGATTCTTGATTTTGCTTTGCTTTTCTGAATTGAAAGGGAACGTAACACACTTGTAAAACTTGAGATGAAATCATTCACACGAGTTTATATTTTGGTTGCCAGTTGAATTAAAGCTTAGTGCTATTGCTTGTTAAATTTTAATGTTGTCTTGCTCGTAGGTTTTCACCGTTGTAGGGTCACCGGGTTCAAATGCTTCCTTTGGCACGAATTTCATTTATCCGCAATTCACTTGGCTGTTTACATTTTTACTCCACTTTATTTCTGAATTAAAATGTATAGTTTTACGACAATATCGGAACAAATTGAACAAATGCTAAGGTAAATATGTAAATATTAAATACATTTAAAGACCCCAAACAAAACAAGGAATAAATAAGGAGCATCAAATATGAGGGACATAATAAACTACATTTATAAAATTTCCTAAAATGTTTTTTAAGCAAAAGTTGGGATATAAAAACGGGGAACGTTGGCTTGCAAACTCACATTTTTAATGAGTATAATGCAGAAATTTACCAATTACTCGAAACATTTGTACTTTTTATTTTCATAGCAACACGTAACAGTCTTTAAGGAAAAAGAATCCATGTTCAGAAGGGTAAATCGACAAAAAGTCGCTTCATGACATTACATTTAAAAAATGTGTGTGTTTGTGCATGCTGGATTAAATACTTAGTGGACAGCACATACACCCGGGACAGATTCGCGCCTATTTGCACGAACTGCGTTGACTTGAAATATAATCACGAAGTGAGAAATGCACAATTCGCATTTGGTCTGACCGCAGCATTCGGCCCGCTGTGTACCGTGCGGAATGCTCAAAACCGGCTGAACTGTCGCGTCGTGAACAGGTGAGTTTATTTACTCGTTTACAGCTGCTGAACCGTGAATTTCACGTTTGGTCTGAACGTGGCATGAGATGTTCCTCAGTGATTTGCAAGCGAAGAAAATATGTCATGTCTTCATGATATAGTATGTTATCACTTATTTCTGAATTCTGCTGTATTTACTTTCAACGACACACCAACTTAAAAAGAATAAAATATGTTTTTTTCCAACGCTGGAACGAATTAATTCTACATCCATTCATTGAGAATGGGAAACGTTGCTTTGGTTTGGAACGCAGTCATTTACAAAGAGACAGCGATGCATGAACAAAAAGAGATTTTTGTTCAACTTGTCTTGAAAAAGGATACGAAATACCAAAGTATGCAAGTGCGACTTGTTCAGTATAAATGAAGAAAGGTTTAGTGAAAACGTGCTTATGATCTGTAAAATGTTGGGACCGAAAAAAAAAGTGATGGAAAGTGGCCAAAATCAAAAGAACAAATCGATTTAGCAAGGATGTGAAGCAAACATTTTATTTGCTTTAGCAGGCCATAAAAACTGATGTGGTAGACCTTGAATTTCACACCCGTCATGGAAAAGTGAAGTCTCTTACAAACCAGAGATTAAATACATCTTTTAGTTTTTTTTTCTCACAAAAAATGTCATGACTCCATAGGTTGTCTGTGCGTTAGAGTGACGTCATCTTACGCAGGCTTTCCGCCCGCTTCCCGATTGGCCACAGCCGCTCCGCCTCCTCCTGGAGGTAAAGCGTGGGGGCGTTTGAGGGGGGCGGGCCCCTCTTCAACCGGACTCTTTATATTTGGTTGCCTTCTACCAAGCCCGAGCTGGGTGCCTCTGCTTTGGGCTAGCAGTTGGTCTAGATTCCGGGAACCGAAAGGAACCGGCTTAACGGGAAGTTAAAAAAAATATATATAAAGAAAACCCCCCCAAAATAAACCAAAATGCCCCCGAAGACCGACGATGGCGGATGGAAGAAGTTTCTGTGGAATTCGGAGAAAGGAGAGCTCCTCGGTCGCACAGGAGGCAGTTGGTGTAAGTATGAACCGCCTCGTGCTTTCTTGCCACCTGTTTGATATCCCCGCGTTGCGTTCACGTACGACCCGTAAGGTAATGCCGCTGTGATGGTTGAGATATCCGTAAATGTATTTTGAAAGCAACAGAGTGCTTTACAGACACGGAGAGAGAGCTTCAGAATTCCAAACGCGGGACGTCGGGGGGGTTTTTTTTTTTTTTTTTTGAATGAACTGGCCCCCGTAGGGGTTAAAAATGCATCACAATCCAAGGTGAGTCAAGGTGATATGGCCTTGCTCCAAAGTGGTGTGGCTTGGAGGAAGGACTATCGATCCGTATCGGGTTCCTCCGATCAGATGTCAGGGTAATCTTAACGGACAATACCACTGATTAACTAAGGCTTCGACCTTCTCGAGTTTCTCGTGAGGCGCCAGTGCGCATGTCCTTGCAGCGCCTCTCAATGTCACAAGTCGTGTGCTGTGCAGCAGAGCACACTGTATGTAAAGAGGAGGCGAATGTCTCACGTTTGACCTTCTGGACGCATATTTAAAAAATTGCTGAAGCATCACATACTGCTGCGGGAGGGTGTCAGGATATTACAGGAAGGAAAACACAATTTGGCACAGTTATTATGCATCATAATACATCTGATAAAAGCCACGATAGCCTATTTTTTTCATACTATTGTTGTCTTTTATTTGGGGGGTGGGTTGGGGGCATAGTCCACTCTGACCAATCTCAACGTATTCAGCATGATGCAGTTCAGCTCTACATCACTGTACATAACCTCACGAAACATTGGACGTTGCAGAATGTATGCGTTTCTGGTTACTGTATCTCAATGCTGCAGCTCATTTGAGATAAGCCCACCCGAGGAATCGTGAAACAGTCATCAAAGAAGTAATACGTAATTTATTAATGCGGTCTTGACTGCCTTGCCCTTTTTGACATTGCTCCTTCCCTGCAGCCTCATGTCGAAGTCAGCTAGCAGCAGCGTGACCTCCCAGATACCATTTTTTTTCTTTTTTTGTTCACCTGCAGTCCCTCACGTGAGGGATGACAAGGACCCACGTGCCTGCGTCAGCATAACCGTTTTATTTTCCACTCTCAGACTTCACAGTTGAATACTGTCGAATCTGTATAGACGACAGCCACCGCTGTTGTATGGTTTTAGATTTCCTTGAGCATTTGTTTCAGCGAGGTAACCGATTGCGGCGAACAGAAGTGGGTTAAATTCATTCTTGCCTGACGAGTTTGTTGCCTAGAGGGGCTGCTTGTGGATTAGAAGCATGCAAATAATTCAAATACCAAAGCCTGTTGTTAATTTAATATTGAAACAGGGTGAAGATGACATTTGTTGGTTTATTTTTTGGGGATGAGTGTATTTTTTTCAGTGTTCGCTGTAAAGTTGTGGTTTTTGTCGCTGTGACCCCCGCCCTCCCTCATCCCTCCCACAGTCAAAATCATCGTCTTCTACGTCATCTTCTACGGCTGCTTGGCCGGAATCTTCATCGGCACCATCCAGGCCATGCTGCTCACCCTGAGCAACTACAAGCCCACATGGCAGGATCGAGTTGCACCTCCCGGTAAGTCTGTGTTCTGTTTGCTCAGGGCCGCTGGAGAGTGCAGCGGTACCTTGACGTGAAGTCTGCGAAGAACTATTCTGACCTCCCAGAGTGTGCTGTGTGCAATTACTGTACTGCCATTACTATCAAACTAAAGGAATTGCATCTCACCCAACCACAAATTTTACGAAAGTCCACAAGCTTGCATAATAATACAAAACACCATACATGGGCTAACGACACTCGCATTGGTAGCGCAGTGGTTGTAAACATGTAAACAAATTTTAACAACACTGCAGCCACGTGATCAGAGTCTCTAACAATAATCACATTGATACATCCTTTCCCCTCTGTGAAAAATGACTACAGTGAAACTCCTCTACAACGAAACCTACATGGGCGAAAATACCCCCTGGTGTGAAAAAAAATGTCATGCATGAAAGTTATTCCCACTTTTCTGCTCCCCCTACAACGCAAGGTCCTCCTGTTCCGTTATACGAAATCTTTTTCCCTGCTCTTGCCTCACAATGAGGTTCACTACAAGGAAAACAAGCCTTCCGCAAAAGTCTAATGATCCAACCTCAGCATGCCACAGCGGCCTCTACTGCTTCGTTCGGAAACGGCAACAGCAACCACCACACTGGTTTACACATGTGCACTAGTACAAGAAGTATTTGTTATTGTTAGTTTCATTGCTAAAATGGCTACAAAACGGACCTTTGCATACCAAGGAGTTAAGAAAAGCTGTAATGCTGGAAGACAGGATAAAAGTAATAAAAATGAAAGAAGGAGGAAGCAAAATAAAATACATTATGCAAAAAACTGATGTCAGTGAAATGCTGATCATAAATTTTGCAATTTCTTTCCCTTTTTTTTCTTTCTACGCTGGCTATATGAAGTGTCAAATAAGTGTATGCTCATACTTATGCACTATTGGAATAAAAAGCTCCCACCAGAACTGCGGGTGGAACTTGGTCAGGATCTCCCGGTTGTCTCGGATCTCTGCAAAAGTTCACATAGACGTTTTTTGTGTGTGTTCGTGTTTACATCTGAGATAAAATTTGCTACAGTGAAAAGTCCCCTGTTGTGAAAAATGTCTTGCTGCAAACATGATTTCGTTGTTAGAGGAGTTTCACTGTAATATACTGCAACATAGTTAACGGTATTGTTCATGCTTCGGCATCAATTTTCTGTGCATTATGCTGTACTGCCCCCAGTGGCCAAAGCACGCACACCAGAAACAGCAACACAAGGTCGACTGAATCAAAGCCGAAAGCCTGAATATCACTGAACAGTTTGCAATGTTTTTCTTTTTTTGAGGGTTCATTTAATGATGGAAAGAGAGACCATTTTTCTTGTCGTCATCAAATTTTGAACATTGAACATGAACATTTCTTTGTGACAAGAAAAGCTCTGACACAAACTAAATTGTTGTTTTTTGGCGCAAGTACAGAAAGTAACCCATTTGAAATTATTTGGTCATTCGGTCGCTCACGTGAGAGGTCCGTTCACTTGGATGGGATGTTGGCTGACAAACACGAATATTGTCACTGCTCTCCATTGTAAATCCTTTGCCTGCCAATCTCGCTACTATCCTGCCAGGATGGCGACATAAACAAATGAATGTTGGCATTAGTCACCTGATGTCCGGAAAACTATCTTCAGCTGTTTGCTGTAAAGCTCACCGGTGTCCATATCTCTTGAGCTCTTTCTATAGCGCTCTAAGATGCCGCCCAAGTCCTGGCTAATACAAAATGAGTCATTTACATATTCCGAAGTATGTTTTTCAGTGACGCATCACGACTGATCTTTGAGTGTCAGGGAGCAGCTAAATTTAGTTGGTGGAAATTCCAGAGAGTCTTCTTCACATGTGAATTAACCCACACTTGTGGTGCATTTTACTGTTATTTTGTTTTGTTTTGTTTGCAAATTAAAATAACGTGTAAGGCATTCGCTTTACAAGGTAATGTTGTAAGACAATGGTCCCTAATGCTATTATGTAATTCAATGCTAAATCAGTCGTCCGGTGGGCACTTGTGCATTTGTAAAGAACGAGCTTGGTTTCACCTCCAAAACATCACAATAGCAACTAGAATAGACAGCGCAGTTGCACACATGGGTTGCATCTGTCCAGTTCATCGAGGCGCATCTCCATGGAGTGATAGTTTCCAAAACAAATGCGCCCTCGAGGCAGGGCTTCAACATGGAAACTAATGACGCCGGATCAACACTAAAAGCAAATCTGGGAATTTATAACTAAAATGAAAGTTTTGTCTTCATCCCGCAGCATGTCACCCTGTGACAAGGAAGCTTTTCAATTATCCTGCAAAGCTGCGCTGGACGTTCAGAGCGGACACTGTTGTATAGTTACTGTAGAAACACGACAACAAAAGACGCTTTCTTCGTCTTACATCAGTTGATTGGATTGTCAGCAACATCCGGTCCCTCCCAATTCATGCTTGCAGTTAAAATTCCATGCGTACCATGACACAGTGCGACAAACCGCATGATGTCGCTCTCTCCTCTTGGTTATCAGAATGCTAACGGAAAGCTTTGCCATACGGACTGGCGAGTGATAAAAGAAAAGAAGCAATACAAAACAGCACAAAATACAGCGGAACCTCGATTTATTGGATCAACTGAGGGAAGGTGTCGTCCATTAGAGCAAAATGTCCTTTTGATTTTTTTTTTCTCATGGCCTAAAAATACCAAATACAGTACAAAATTGCCTCATACTCTTTTTCATGGCTTAAAAATCCCCAATACAAAATGATTATCAAGATATCAAAAATATAAGTATAAAGATGCTTCAAACTGTTTGAAAAGTTACAAACGTAACTCGCTGGGGCTTGGTGGAGTGAGGGGGGGGGGGGGGGATAATAAGCAAGCAAGCAAGCTCGTCGCCTCGGCCGCAAGGTTAATGCGTTTCTTTTTCCATCTACGTTACAATTGGATTCTATCGAAATGGGCTTGTTTACCGTACGACTGTTTTTACTCAACCAAAAAATAGCATGTTTGCGAAACGCGCACAGTACTACCTTGATAAGAACTAACTTCAGTAAAATCGATATGGATAAGTCGATATGACGGGCTCCTTTTGGGCCAAGTGCCTACCTTTTGACGGGACGGTCGGCACCGCCAAAATGGCCGCCAGGTGAACCTGCTCTTGTCCGGTACAGCAGTGGCATGACCTGGAAATACACGGACAAGTCTCTGTCTATTGATTCCCCCACAGTGCCGTTTACTGGCGTCAAAAAGAGCACAAAAAAGCACAAGGAGGTGTTGATAGGTTCCACAGACAAAAAAAATGCAAATAGAATTGGTGATTAGTAAACTGCAAGTATGCGAGGTAATGACTAACGTTCATAAACTCAAAATAAACGCACCACCCGGTGATGGTGCAATTCAACAACAATGCGAAAAATCACGTGGCTAATTCGAGTCCGAACTGTGTGTTTTGTACCCGCAGGCCTCACGCACACCCCGCGATCTGACAAATCCGAAATGTCCTTTAACCCAAGAGACGTGGAAACCTATTTGCCTTACACCAAGGCCTTGAGGGACTTCCTGGCCAAGTATGACGACGACAAGCAACTCGACCAGATGAAATTTGAGGACTGTGGAGGTACGTCCATTCATCCCCTTAAAAAAAAAAAAAAAATAAAGTCAAGCCAGTCTGTGTTAAATACGCACTCTGTGTCCTCTTTAGATGAGCCGATGGGCTACAAGAACCGTGGCGACTTGGAGAGCGATACGGGCGTCAGGAGGGCATGCCGCTTCTCCAGGAGCCTGCTGGGCCCCTGCTCCGGCCTGGATGAGAAAGACAAAGAATTCGGCTTTGACAAAGGCCAACCTTGCATCGTCGTCAAGCTCAATCGGATTGTGAACTTCCGTCCCCGGGTGAGTCAAGTCTTTCAATTCTTGATTATTCTAAAACTGTGCACTACGTTAGAGTGAATGGAGCCTCTCAGCTCCCTTCGACATAGTTCCTCAGCCCCAAATGCCACAAGATCTGGTAAAATATTACTTCTTTCGAAATGAAGCTACTCAGCTGGCCTCAACATAGTTCCTTGGCACAAAATGCCACAAGTTGGCAACAAACCACGACTTTTGTCAATGAAGCTCCTCAACTCACTTCTGCATGGTTACTTCCTTGATACTGAGAAGCCATGAGATATGCATTTAAAAATAGGATGGATAAAAAAATCTGAAAATGAATGAATGCATAAATATGCAGTTAAACACTGTACTTACTCGACATCATAATACTTTTTTGGGGGGTCGGGGGGCCATCACCTTTGCATTTTAGGTAATTTCAGAAAGAGCAACAAAAAAAATGCTAATAGTTGAATTTGTGAATAGTGAACTGCAAGTATGCAAGCGATTACTGGAATGTGAAGTGGCCAGCCCTACGAAAAAAACGAATGGGAATTTCTTCCAGATCATTCAGAGCACAGCAAATAAAACTTGTTCTAATGAGATTTATTTCAAAGGCATAAAGATCGGGACATGTTAAATAAAAAAAAACATATATAGACACTGTATTTTCCGCACTAAAAGGCGGACCTAAAAGCCTTCTTCTTCCTTAAAAGCTCACAGCGCGCCTTAAAATCCGATGCGCCTTGTGTATGGTCATTACGGTAATATTTCAACTCCAAAATGGCTCCTTGCTAGAGACATGCTTACAACGCAGAGTTCAAACTTAATGCGATCGGTTTCGCAGTTGAACACGGAAATAGAGCAGCGGCAAGAGAGTTCGACGTTAACGAGTCAATGTTATAACTTGCTGTTGGTTAAGTAAACTGTGTCGCTACTTTATTAAATAAGTCTTACTGACATCTGATCGTCGCTATATAAATCAGTGTGTAGTGTTGTTGGCATTTCCTTGAGCGTAGCTCCATCTAGTGGATGCATTGTAGATTGTGTCTTATCATGCGGCGCATCCAATATATGAAAAAAATTACAAAATAGGCCATTCATTGAAGGTGCCTCATAATCCACTGCGCCTTTTAATGTGGAAAATACGGTAGATTAACTTGCACAGGACCCGTTGATTGAAAAATACATCCTGATTCGGCTTGTGTGGGTCCCAAAAACGTGTCTTAAAAGAAATATAATCATAATCATAACCTCTTTTGGTCGCATATGGTGAATGATGCGATGAAGCATCTTTTCTTTTTGTGTTCAGACTCCCATCTCAAATGAAACCATTCCTGAAGAAGCTCAACCCAAGGTGCAGCCCAATTTGATCCCCATCTACTGCACCAATAAGGTACTTGCCACTCAAAGCCTCAACCCAAATGTTCCTGCCTGTAACCTTATACATTTTAACATGCGTACCGTATATGGTATTATATTGTCCATATTCATACCTCTCAACCTGCGCCCTTTGTTCGAACGTGACTGCAGGATGTGAGTATGATCCTTACACGTGCGTTCGTTATTTTGAAGTCTGTCATTCCTTTCGTGTTTCAAACTGCATTTGGACTTCTCTGCATACATATGATGCATATTAACAGCGTTGAGTGTGTTATTCTACGTCGCTGTTGAAAATGTGCTTTCCAGTTTGCACTCTACCGTAATTACACGTTGACATCCGGGCATAATTCGTTCGTTATGCTGTGGCGGTTTGCATTATACGTTAGCGTAAAGCTCGGGGACTTTCATAAGACAACGTTATGTGGTTTATACACGACAGGTAACTCTTTTTGTTTTAGAATTACTTTGAAAATAACCTTCAACTGGGAGTGGTAACAAACACCTTGAGGCAAGCACACTTTGCTATGTGCCAAACTATAAACGCCATGCTTAGGGAAGGCAGAATAGACATGATAGTTCGGGGGAAAAAAAAGATATGTGTTCCAAGTCCAATTTTTGTTTGCAACACAAAGTCAAAAACTGACCAAGCGATGGCTCATGACTCCAAAAGCTCATTCGTCGGGGAACTCGTCAGTGAAGGTACCAACGTATGAATTACTTCCCAACACGCATCATCGCAATCTTTTTTTCTCCTTTAGATTCCAATTCCTAGAATTCTGTCTCAATTCTGCTCTTGTATTTGCTCGCACTTGGGTTAGTCATTTGTATTCTAGTCTCTTTGTGTGAGTATTTCTGCTGTGACTTGATGGATGATAAAGTATCGATTATCTCCATGATGACTCGTTCTCGTCGGTGCTTTTTCCACGGCAGCGAGAGGAAGACGCCGGCAAAATCGGCGAGATCAAATACTATGGCATCGGCGGCGGCTTCCCGCTGCAGTACTACCCGTACTACGGCAAGCTGCTTCACCCGCACTACCTGCAGCCGCTGGTGGCGCTGCACTTCACCAACCTGACCAGGAACGAAGAGCTGCGCATCGAGTGCAAAGTTTACGGCGACAACATATCCTACAGTGACAAGGACCGCTACCAGGGACGCTTTGATATCAAGATCTCGGTCAACGGTTTATGACCGCCACCGGAACAGTAGAGCACTTTCCCGTTGCCGCCCCCCCTCCCCTACTCCCTTCCCCATTTCAACCCCCTGACATGAAGTAGACAAATAGTCGGGGTTTGGGGGGCGGGGGGTAAGTCGATCACACTTGCTTCCGGTTAGCATTGGCGCACAATTTTAGTGGGGTGGAAAAAAAAAGTAGCTGTTAGGCCACGCGAGCATATTTATTCTGCTGTAAGTGACATTTTCCCCACAAGCAATTTGGGGCCATTGTTCATTCACAGGTGTACCAGTGGACCACCATCTGTTCCATCCCCCCTTCCCACCTTGACCATTACCTCCTCCTCCTCCTTGTCATATCACTGCCTCGGTACCTCGCTTTTCCTTCATTTTTCCAGCGTGATGTCCCACGGCCCATAGTGATTGATTGGCTCGGACCACTCTTCTGATCTTAAATGAAAAAGGCTGCACTCCAGGAACTTCTTTCCTCCTCCTTCTTCTTCTTCTTCTTCTTCTTCTTTTTTTAAAATCTTTAATCATGGGGGCCTTGTTTTACTTTGCCTTCGTTTTGTGCTTAAATCACTTAAAGTGTGAAGAGATTTTATTCAATGCCTTTTTAATTGATCTTTTTTTTTGTGTGTGTTTTCCAGCTCGTGGGTAAGACACGACGCTGACTAGGCTTTATCTTCTCCTTTGGACTCTGTCGCAATATCGCGATGCATGTCCTCTGAATGTTTTTAGCCATCAAACATGGTGGATGAATTGTATATTTATACAGTTGTACATTTTGTTTCTGTGCAAAAATATTGTTAATGTATACATGCAATACCAAAGTGATGATCTGTGAAAGGGTCAACATTTGTTTGCCTTGCAACCTTTTCGTGGCTCACTCTAGAAAGGTGAGGGGCGTCTTGGGCGATGAATGTCTGCGGAACCAGGGCGCTTGACTACTGCGATGGTCACAACGTTCATCCATTTCAAATTAAAAGTAAAGAAAAGAGGGAAAATGAACCTCAATGAGCTCTTGCGGCTTTTAGGTGACGAACCATTTTGGCAATTTAGTGTGTAGGATCATATCTGAAACACTTGAACTTGTACAACCTACCGTCATTTCATGCACCCTTTGCCATTTAATCTAAGATAGAAACGAATAAAATCCTAATACTCCTCTTTCTTGTGCTTTGTCCTATGTTTGATGCTATATTGAACACATGCTTACTTGCCCCTGAATGAAGTACATCGACTGTCGGTGCAGGTTACACCAGGGATGGGTAACCTAAATGCTTGTTGGGGTGAGAGGCGGGGCACAATTTTTCCATCAGCGCTATTGGGAAGCCGCATGCACTGACTAGGTCACCTGATTTAAAAAAATAAAAAATACTTTTTTTCCCAGCTCTAAAAATCCTTACCTCCCCATGGGCATCAAGAAAAAAAGGGAGGAGTCAAAGGTGGTAGTTGTACTTGAAAGAGGCAAGAAGCAGTGCTGCATCGATTATTGAAGTAGGGAAACACAAACATTTTCGTTCCACCCTTTGAAAATGGAGGCTATAGTCCAAAAAAACCCATCTGGTATTTATTATTTCACATATTTTGTGTAATTATAATACAGCACACTAAGTTTTTTTTTTTACTGGCCCCTCCTGCAGGCTATGAGAGTGCAAAGACTACAATAGTTTATCCTCACTTTAAGTGATGAAGCCTCAAATTGTTGTGTAAGGGACTTTTCCAAAGGAATATTGTTTCCAAACCTGCAGCAGAGTTTTTTGAACTCTAATAATTTATATGAAGTGGAAATGTAATTGGCTTTTGCCAAGAAAATATTAAAAAGATAAACATATTGAGAGGGGTTTCTTTCAAAATACTTCATAGCTATTACGGTGTAAAAATTAAGCTGCCAAAATATAATATTAACATTGACTCAATGCATGCTTTTCTTCTAATGAAGAGGAAGCAATATCCCATTTGTTTTGGGACTGTACTTACACAAATATCCTTTGGAATAACTTTTTTTAACTAATTTTATCCAAATTGAATTATCTAAAAATGAACCCACAATGGAAATACATTTCTTTTTGGGGGATTTCATTTGGATGAAATGGCTTTATATTAAGTCTTATGTTATCACCCTTCTCTCAATTTTGGCAAAGTTTTATATTCACTGTGCAGTTTTTGTTTTGTTTTGAATAGTTTAATTCCTCCGTAATTTTTTTTTTTTTTGTTCAGACTGCACATCCTTGTTACCACATCTGACCACAAGAGGGCAGTAATATCCCGTGAATAACATTCACCGGGTACTTTATTCAGTCCAGTACTTCCTCGTACAGGACAAAAACGAGCATTTTTTTGTCACGTGATTTTGCTGAAAGGTACCTCAAAAACATGTACAAAGTATAACAAAAATAGTGATGAATAAATCCCTTATCATTAAATAAAATAAATTAAAATTTAATCCGAATACTATTTTAATTTTACTCGTACTGTAATTATTGTAACAAGGTTGCACCTCTTTTTTTCAAGAGTACTTGCTAGCTGTGTTAGCTGCTATGCTAACTGGACAAGAATGAATAAAAATTAAAAATGTGTCATTATTAATTCGTCCTTTTCTGATAATGTGAGTGACGGGGTGGCGTCTCTTTGAGTGACATGTCATTATTGTTGAAAACTTGAAAAAAAATATGAAAAATAGAAAAGAGGACTTACATTAGGTCCACAAATGGTCCCAGCAAACAAATGATAAATTTCTATTGACTCATGATGCTCACTTTTTTCCCTCTGTCTCTTGATGGCTAAAAAGATTTTAGTCACAAAACAATTGTAGACCATAAATAGAAGCAAAATCAAACGTAAAACCTGCAAATTTGGGATGTTGGGACACTTGCAACTCGAGGAGCTCCTGCCACATATACAGTTTAAAGACGGTTGGGTAAAAAAAAAAAAAAAAAAAAAAAAAAAAGCATCCCGCTACGTGGGTCAATTTGACCCAACTTTTTGGTTTGTTCTGTCCAAAATAAACTATTTATTGATTTTTTTAATATACATTTCAGTGATACTTTACATGTTTAAAAACACCCCAAAATGCTTAATCTATGATGATTGTTTCAAAAGATCCCCTCTCCGTTCTTACTGTGCACGTGCAGACTTGATTCACGAAGAGGGTAGTGAAAGAGAGCAACAAAATTGTTGGCGCATTGTGAGGAAGTTTAAGCTGGGGTGAAGATGAGGAGAAGGTGAGATAAAGTCAAACCATTAAAAAATAAATCAAAACTACCAAAGGTTTCAAACTTTTTCACGGCAACATCGAACAGCAAAAATCAGACACCCTTGCCAGTTGCAGTAACACTGTTGTTCCTGTCAGCTACAGTCAGATGAAGTGGGAATTGGTGTGTGAGTGATGCTTCTCATCAAGAAAATGTCTGACTCTTTATAAAAGCACACATTTACAATTTAAGCCTTGAATCCTCAAAATGGCCAAAGATATGTTGGTTATTTTTTTTTCTCAGCATCCTGCTGATGATACTGCCATGAAATACTGCTGACTGAATGCACAAGAGGCTTGTGATAATCAGCCTAACAAAGCGGGCATGTTCCAACCCATCCACCTCCTCTGGGAGCTAAAGGTGACACCATAGAATATACATGTGATGTGAGGTGTGATGTGTCCCCTTTGCCTTTTTTTCTGTGGTAAATAATGACTCATTGCATGGAGCTACAGTGCAGGTTGAACATGGCAAATCATCAGAGGTGACTAAAGTACACTGAAAAGAATGCTGTGTTGAACTAACTAAATTTGATTTCGTCTGCCACAATAAAATCATCCGGATTTAGACACATTGTTTAAGTAGCTGTGTAGTCCACTTTAAAAACGTAACTGGATCCAGATGATTTTTGTCTTGCGTCCGAACAGTGCAATTTTTGTACCAAAGTAAAAGATGCCATTAGGTCCTGGAGAGAATATTTATAATAATAATAATAGAGAATAAGACCCCATCAATTCCACCGAACACACCTTCCCTTGAGGAGGCAGCATGCAGGGATTCTGGGGTGGACTCTGTGGTTGAAGTAGAAAACGGATCGATGTGTGGATGGATGGATAAAAAAATAAATGAATGAAAAAATGTGATTGGACAAGTGTGCACACTTCTATCTATCGATCGATTAATGATCGAGCAAGCCAGCTAGCGAGTTAGCTAGCTACTTACCTACCTGTCTGTTTGTCTAAAATTTCAAAATTCCTTGCTTGGGAACAGAACAGTGATTCTTGTTATTGCTAAATATCAACTACAGTAATATGAATAATAACCACTAGGATACATACAGTACAGTATCTCACATTTGTTCCATGTCTTCAGAGGTTTAGTGAAGCTGAAGGGGAGGGTGTAAGTAGCCATGCTGAGATTAGCTCAAACTGTCGGAGGATTGCCCTTACAGCCGAGTCATTTTGGCCAACACACAGTAAGAGGCTTTGCCCAGACTGGAAGGGATATAAATAAATGGGCAGCTCGGACAAAAGTCACTACTGTTGATCTAATAATTGCGTGTTGATGTTGACTCTTTCCAAATCTATGATGGCTAAATAAGAATTTGGGAACAACGGTGAGTGTTGTCCAACTATGAGAAAACAGACGATATTTGAATATAAAGTAAAAGCGAAAGTCAGAAAATAATTAAAAACAACAACGACACAACATTTTATGTATTTTTATCCTTTGAGATAACAGATTTATTCCAAAAACATCGGAGTGATGCAGTATGTCTTCTACTTGTGATCTTTTTTTCTCTTGGCAGTCTCCTCCCTCCTCCCCACAACCTTGGTTTGGAAGTGACAGAGTACATGAACATATTGGGACTAATCAACAGCAAGACAAGATCTCTACAGTTTGGACGTCTTCTTTTTTTTGGTTTGTTTTTGCTTTCTTCACAGATATATAATAGCATATCCTCATTCAGAACTGGGAGCAAACATGGAATTAGTGCAGAGTGCACGCTGAGCCTTCGTAATCAACACTAAAGTACAGGTAAATGCATGCACACGTCTTTATGGTCACTTGTAAACCGGCTTTTAAAAAATAGGAATAACTTTTGAATGATAAACAGCTATACAAATTCTAATTTTAGATGCAATGATCCATAATCTGTGCAAAGAGGATTTGAGCAGAGTTCATGAAACAAAACCAAAACAATTTTTCACTTGCAAAGATTGTCTCTCAGGGTAGTGATAATAGTAACAGACCAATCTAATTGGTTCTTTGGGTTTCAATCCTTAAAATCCACCAAATGCTTACCTCTCAGCACGACTGTAGAAAAGGCACAAGACAGAAACACAAGAACAGACTCATGAAGGAAAGTCAATGTACCCTTCCCCCCTTTTTAAAAAAAAAATCTTAGGCTGATGGACACCCAAAATCAGACCTCCTTTGCAGGGACTGGACCACTTTACAGGTAAGTCTCACTGAGGTGAGGATCATCCAGAAAGCAGTAGCAACAAAGTGGCAAGACTGAGAAAAAAAAAAAACAGAGCTTAATTATCACTGTTTACAAATTTGTTCTCTATTGCAAGGCTGGCTCAAATGATGCACTCCGGTTCGAATAGAAGCAGACCTGCAGAGTTCAGTATGACCTTCTGTAAAACAAAGAACAGGTGAGCTCTGTAACTATGGAATAATAGAACATTTGGAAAGAAACAAGGATTGCCACTGAAAATAAACTAAAACAGGAAGTGTCATAGAATGGTAAAGAGTATGTGAATGTCTACATTTGTAACAAAAGATGTACAGTGATAAATTAATGCACGTGTTGTCCTTATAGTCACTTTCAGCGGCCTTTGGCTGAACAGAATTTGAATAACTGCAACAACAATGACGGGTAAGATGGCACTGTACTCTTTATTCGACAGCCACATCCATTCAAGTTAAGTACGGCAGGTGGTTTTCCTAAAACTGGACAAGGGAGCGTAACTGCAATGTCACAGTGCCCCCCTGCGGACACCTGAGTTATTGTATAAAAATTGTAGTCTCCTTGTGCGCCTCCTTAATGAACGCCTTGTTGTACAGCAAAAAAGACAAGAAGGATGAACCCAAAAATGAGAAGAAAGATGAGAAGGCAGAACCTAAGAAAGACGACAAGAAAGATGACAAGAAAGACGAGAAAAAGGATGAGAAAAAGGAAGAACCGTAAGTTGTGCGCTCACTTCTTAATGTCAATGTATTTAATAGTGATTTTAAATTAGGTTTGTTTGTTATGAATTTGGCTCACGAAAATGACCTTTAATCAAAAGCTACATTGAGAAAAATGAGAACGAAATATTTTTAGCTTCATTTCCAAGTGAACGGAATGGACTGCCGATGCACGCACCTATCCCGCATTCAGGGTACAGAGGCATGCGAACTTCCAGTTGCAAGTCCAACACATAGCGAGGGCAAGTTTTTAAAATATATTCGCAATCTGCAGAAATGATGTCAGGTTACCATAAATTAGCTTATTATTGGATCCAGTTATCCAAGTGTCAATGAAGCGATCAAAGCACCATATCTCATTTAATGAACCTTTTGCCGGTCCACGCAGATACGGGCCCGATTTATTTTGACACGCTCAACCCAACTTTGTTTCAAAGGCGCAAAAACAACCACGAATATTAATATAATTTCTTCATTGTCACGTTCTACTGTGCAGATGCAACACGTGAGCATATGAAAAGATAAAATTTATCGTGTGGAAAATACGGTAGCTACTTATCAAAAGTTCTAATTAAACAATAACAGTGATTAATTCTTTTGTTCAGAAAAGAGGTGTGGATCATGGACCCTGCCACAGATTTATACTACTACTGGTTATGGACCATATCCATCCCTGTCTTCTACAATCTCATTTTGCTGGTAGCCAGGTCTGGACATTTTTGGTTTCAGCGTTGAAATTTATTTTTTTTAGAAAAATTTGAAAGTCTTTGTGAATGTTGGTGCACTACAGGGCTTGCTTTAATGAGCTGCAGAATAACAACACAAGATTGTGGATCGTGTTGGACTACACTTCGGACGCACTCTACATTGCAGACAGTTTTGTGAGAGCCAGAACAGGTTTGTGGCCTCGGCTGATTTTCTGCAGTTGTAGTTTATAAAAACCTTCATGAGACGATAATCATGTTTTTTGTCATAGGTTTCCTTGAGCAGGGACTGCTCGTACGGGATGAGAAGATTCTGAAGGAAAAGTACATGAAAACCCGCCAGTTTCGACTGGACATCATATCCGTGATTCCCACTGATATTGTATTCATCAAAATTGGACTGAACAATCCCGAGTGGAGGTTCAATCGCCTCTTTAGGTTAGCTCGGCTCTTTGAATTCTTTGACCGAACAGAGACTCGCACCAATTTCCCAAACATCTTTCGGATCGGTAATCTTGTACTTTACATCATCATCATCATCCACTGGAATGCTTGCATCTATTTTGCAATCTCGAAGGTTCTGGGCTTCGGTTCAGACACGTGGGTCTATCCAGCAACGAAGAATGCAGAATTTCAACGTCTGACCAGGCAGTACATATACTGCTTCTATTGGTCCACACTGACCTTGACCACTATTGGGGAGACACCACCACCAGTCCGTGATATCGAGTACTTCTTTGTTGTGGCCGACTTCCTCACTGGGGTTTTGATCTTTGCGACAATTGTAGGCAATGTTGGTGCCATGATATCCAACATGGGTACCGCTCGAGTAGAGTTCCAGTCCAAGATCGACTCCATCAAGCAGTACATGCAGTTCCGGAAGGTTTCTAAAGATCTTGAGGCCCGAGTGGTCAAGTGGTTTGATTACTTGTGGACTGAGCAGAAAACATGTGACGAAAAGCAGGTGCTCAAGAACCTTCCGGATAAGCTCAAGGCTGAGATCGCCATCAACGTTCATCTGGAAACTTTGAGGAAAGTGCGAATTTTTCAAGATTGCGAAGCGGGTTTGCTTGTGGAGCTGGTTCTCAAACTTCAACCCCAAGTCTTTAGTCCGGGTGATTACATCTGTAAGAAAGGGGACATCGGGAGGGAAATGTACATCATCAAGGAAGGGAAGTTAGCAGTGGTGGCAGATGATGGGGTCACCCAGTTCGTGGTGCTCAGTGATGGAGCCTACTTTGGAGAAATCAGCATTTTGGGCATTAAAGGAAGTAAGGCGGGAAATCGAAGAACGGCCAACATCCGAAGCGTAGGTTACTCCGACCTTTTTGCCTTATCCAAGGATGACCTGATGGAGGCGCTCACAGAGTACCCGGATGCTAAGAATGCACTGGAAGACAAGGGACGGGCCATCCTGATGAAAGACAACCTCATTGATGAGTCGCTTGTCGCAGCTACCGACGCTAAAGACTTTGAATTAAAAGTGAATGCTGTCGAGACGAGCCTGGAAGTCATGGCGCTCAAACTGAAGAAGCTAACGGAGCATCATGAATCATCCCAGCGCAAGCTCAAACAACGGCTCACTAATTTGACAAACCAGGTCCGGACCATCAAAGTTGCTGATGAATAGCACAAGCTTAAGGCTACTACTTCCACTGAGCAACTGGTCTTCAGACAGACTGTTGATTCCATAAATGGCTCAGGTTTACTACAAAGGCTATACATTCTTAATGCGCAAGTTCCTGAAATAATTGGGAAAATGTGTATGTTGGGAGACCTCATCGTCATGCTTGTTTTTTAACATCATGACACCAAACACAAACTATGTACTATCACTTGTCCAGTTTCAAAAAACTGCATTGCGAACATTTTGGAACTTGGATTTCTACATATGTTGATTGCAAAATGTGATCTGATCAAAGCAATATTTCATATCTACAGGCAGTCCATAATGTCTCGTTACATTTAAAACAATTCATTCAAAGGCAGTTGTCGAAATAGTTTACCGCAAGTCCAGAATCCTGAGGATGTACACAAAAGGCAATATAAGCCCAGTGATAAGAAGGAGCCAGATGGACTTTCATGGAAAGACAAACCACCGCCGAATTGTGAAAAAATGGCCGACATCAAGAAAACAGAGTGGCTGGAAAAGGCTGGACGGACACGGAGGCACTAATCATGGCAACACAAGAACAGGCCCTAAACACAAGATCAATAGAGGCTACCGTCGACCACATCAGACAGGATCCCAGGCTCAGGCTGCGCAAAGACGCCCCAAAGATGATGCAGCATATCAGAGCAGGACATAAGATGCTGACAGGCAAGACATACATGGAGCTGCATAACCAGGTAACAGGAATAGTGTACTCTAACATCTGTTCCAAATATGGACTAGAGGTCCCAGAACAAAAATGGCAGACACCTCAGAAGGTGGTTGAGAAAGGGTCGATATAAAAGTGTATCGCAAAAGTGTAATGGAAACACATTTTTCGCTTTTCCATGTCTTGTGACAACGCCTCCAGCTACGTCGAGGACCACTGGTTCGGTGAGGGACAGAAGGAGAGGGGTTTGAGTTGAATTCCCCGTGCAGATACGGACAGAGGTGTCTACCCTATTGATCAGTTTACCGCTCAACGGTTTCACGACCTGTCACGAGTCTTGCTTTACAATAAGTAAGGCATTCTCTTAGTGATGAGCAGAGTTGTGTTAATATCTAGCATATCTTTTGCAATAAAGCGCAAAAAGTACAACCTTGGTTTCAATGGACCATAACACATTTTTCGACATGTTTGAGAAAAGGTAGACAAGCTTGGTTATTTTTCTTTGTAATTTAAGGATTTCAGTCTTGCCGCCCTACCCAATATTTCGGACACGTGTAAAATACAGGTGATTGTTGTCACATGTATTAAACTGCCAAGGTATTTGCCAGAAATTCCTGCGGCTCCATCATTTGTTGCTTTTAAGCCTCCTGGCCACCTCGCTGACCAGTCTTCCTTCTCATCAGCTTAATCCCTTTTCACAATGCACTCGGTGAGTGCGAGAGTCACACAGCAACACAAAATGACAGTCAGTGTGTCCATATTTGGAAATAACTGCCAAAATAACACTAATAATTCACTCCACTGGCTCTTCCCCAATTGGAGGCACTTTGCTTACGTCACATGGCCGCCACTCTTGGAACATTTTCCAATTCCAGGCACTTTGCCGTCACGGCAGAAGTCCTCTGGCCGCGCCGCCAAGCTACGCTCCACTCTGCGGTCCCCGCTGCTCACCACATACACAATGAACGTGTTTGACGAAATTGACAGCGTGCTGCGCCCTGTTAAATTGCAGTGTGAAAAAGGGTAGAGTGAGAAGCTGCGCTGTAAGATGTGACTACAAAAATGTCAGGAAAAGGTGAGTCAAACAGCTGACTTTATTTGGAGTTAATTGGTGGCATTTTAAATGGTGGCAAGTGTGTGCAGAGCACCATTTAATGTTTGAATGTGATTGGTTTCATTCTGAGCACAACCACATTCCCAATTAAGTTGTGCACAACTGTGCAACCACATTCTCTCACTTATTTCACACTTGCTGAAAGATCAATTTAATTTTAAATTGACCTGTACATGTAATAGATCACTTTACTGGTGGAAAAAGTTTTGAGGTCAACTTATCTTGGTCTTTGTGTCTTTTTTTTTTTTTTTTTTACAGCACCTAGCAAGGGGTGTGTAGGCTATCCATTGTAAACTGCATATACACACACTGACAAGGCAAAAATATTGGGCCACACCATTTTAATTCATTTATCAATCAGGCAAGGGTTGGGGGAGACTCCTTCCAGCTGAATCGTACTTCATTGTGTCGATACATTGTCAATGCTTTCCAATAACTATTTGGGTAAGGCCCCTTGGTTGGATGAATGTGGTGTGGAAAACTGACTGCTCAATAGGGACAAACTAAAAAAATGTTGGCAATTCAGGTTGTCACTGGCACAGGAGTGAAAGCGATCATAAGAGCAAAGCAGCTCATTTTCACTTCCAGTGTGTGACACGGCCAGATTTCCTGAAACATTTGTCCACAAAATATAGTTATGGCAGAAATGGACAAAATAAAGTGCGTTATGGATTTCAGCCAATCACCCACTATGCTATATACGGCAGTCCGACGTCATCGTCCCAAGAGTGCTGATATATAAATACTGTTTTGTTTTTTTACATTTTATTTAATTAGTATTGTCAACACAGGAAGACATGGTCACTACAAAATGCTTCAGACAATCGTGGTGACCTACAGCTCCCTCCCCCTCCCTCCAAAAACAAACATTCTTGAAAAAAAGTCTAAGTGCACTTACACAGCTCTGACAAGACCTCAGTCTGATCTGCGCCCCATCCCCACAAAACAACAACTGAGATGCGTGGGGGTCGGGGGGATTTTGAGAGTGCAATGCTGAGTTTTGTTTATTTTTAAGAAAGGCAAGAATAAGAATGGGATAAGCCTTTATTAGTCCCGCAATGGGGATATTCACAATCCAGGAAAGGCTACTTTATTTTTTTTAACTTTCTACAATGTTCTACTGGTCACTTTTTTTGTTCAATAATCCTGGAGGATAGCAACTTGTTTGTCCCATCTTCAGAGGTTAATAACCTTTGTTTCACTGTCGGATGGGTGGGGGGGAAAAAACCCAAGTTAAACATAAAATAAATAGAAAATCATCCTCTCTGTACATAAGGTAAGCGGGGAGGCAGCAGCACGCCCATGTCAAGAGGATGTGGGTACTTTGATCAGGCGATCTCTGTGCTTACATTGAAAGACTACAATGTTTTGATAATGCAGGCACAGTGAAGGACTTATTTCCTCCTTCTGCCGCTTACATTGCCTCCGAATTTTATTTCTTTTATTTATTTTTTTTTTAAAAAGGGCAGCGCGAGATGGGTCGAGAAGTCTATTCGCAGTGTGTTTGGAGCAGGTGGTGTAAGAGTGGTATTGTGCCGGTGTGGGGTGGGTGGTGGGGCTCAGAGCATGCCAAACCCTTTGGCATAGGTGATGGCTTTCAGCAGTCGCTCCCTCAGCTTCTCCTTGCTGCTGTACTCGGGCAGCAGTAGCACATTAAAGCAAGTGTGAGATGTTGGTAGCCTGTTGAGGGGAAACGTATGATATCATCAGGAGCGAATTGCAGATGTTACCACAGCGTACGGCGGGTCGTTTGTGCATTTATTCGAATTCCTTGATGTCCGTCTCGGCGTAAGCGTTTGTACTATGTGATGAATTCTTGTTTCTTTCCCCTCATCAATTTTGTACGATTCTTTTTTAAAATAATGCAGTTTATTTTCAAAGTTTTGGTAGCTGTTGTTGCCTATATGCAAGGGCATTACCGTGCCTTAATCAGCGACATTTTTTTTCATTCCACTCGAGCGGCTCTCAACAGAAAGTAAAAAATCAGGAACTCCAAAAATTCCCAGAAATGTGTAACACTATATTACTAGTGAGGACAAATAGCGTACCGGTACATGAATGGCTTTCAATAGTAGCGGGAATGTGGCACTCACCGATCTGTGTCTGGCCCATTCTTGGCAATAATCATCTTCAGTTTGCCGAGCCCGCCCACAGGTGCCCTGTCCGTCCCTGTGGTGAACTGAAGAAAGAGGCGCTTCTGTTCCTCGCCAAAAGAGTGCAATGTCTCCCAGAACTCCCTAAACACCCAGACAGCATCCAAAAAATAAAAAAAAGAGCAAAAAATATTGCTGCGTTGCTCATCTCGATACAACAGAAGCCACACGGCAGAACACATTTTTACATTATGAAAATACGAGAATACGAGAATATATATATAAAAAAAAAAAAAAACAAAAAAAAAACAGTATGCATGGAACCAGCTTCCGAGGTGGATTTAGCTTACTTGATGATTCGAGAATCTCGGTTGTAGCCTCCATCATATTCCGTTGTGTCTTCTAGTGCCATGAAGTCTAAATTCTGGACAATAAACAAAAGAGGAACATAAGCTGACCGACCGCTCATTACTATGCACTGACTGGCCACCTCGAAAGACGCGCCTTCACTAATTTACTCAAATGTACAACTTTTTTTTCGTCATGCGTGCCTATTTAATGCTAAGGGCTACCAGTCTGACACAGACTTCATGAGATGGTGGAGGTGAATCAAATCAAGTGGCCATAGATCTCAATTATGGACACTATACGTCATCTCACCCTGCTCCCGCATATCAGTAGCTCAATTTCTTCGGGCCTGAAGAGGTACTTGAGTGGCGACTCGTTGGTGACCATGTGGAAACCTCTCCTGAACGCTTTGAACTGCTTCTCCACACTTTTGTTCAACATGTACTCTGCATACTGAGCGACAAACTCCTGCACACATCCACAGAGGGAAATGAATTGTGTCTCATGGTTCCGGCGCTAACGGGATGGTGGGCGTGGCTCACCTTTCGGTTTTCATTCGTCACTGGAATTTTATCCCCGTTTTCCCTCAAATCATACATGAGCGGGTTCCCGAAGAGGTCGGTCTGAGAAATCTGGAACGTGATCATCATGTCCTCCTCCACGCTGCCCGCATACTCCAGCAGCTCCTTCAGGCTCTGGTGCAGAATCTGTCAAGTGCAAGTCGCAAAAAGCCCACGCGGTGAATAATAGCAGTCACTTTCCATCACAGACAACTGGACACTTACGGGGTTGGCATCGGCAAGGTCCCTGAAGGTTCCTTTCTTGCCCATCAGCTTCCTGTAGACCACCATTGGAAAGTGAACATCCAGGATGCAGTTGTTGTAGATGGCGAGGCCGAGAACGATGCCGATCAGCGTGTACTGGCCCTCGTTTTCAAATGACGAAGGGTTGAACCAAAAGAGTTTGGTGAGTTCATCATACGTGAACATGCCTGCCAGAGGAAAACAACACTTGCTGCATTAATATCCAAGCCTTGTTTCCACTCTGCAGCGCAGTTCTGTTCACTTTGATTCTCACGAGTAAAAGCAATGAAACCCCTCAAGACTTGTACACAGATCTCCTTCCTTCTCAACACTGCAAAAACTCAACCCCAACAAAGATTAAATATCTCAAATGAAGGCAAAATATGCGGGTTCCTCAACTTCCAAGGTATTTCTCAGCTACGATTACTGGTTTTGGGAAATCTGGAAGAAAAAAAAAAAGCTTTCTTTATTGTTAACATTATTTTGCTTTAATTACCGGTAATATATTACA